TGAAAAGCTGCAGACATTGAAGACTGCAAAAACAAGAGAGGATCTCAGAGTGCAAACAAGGTCCTATTTGAAAACTGTCTGATATGATTTTTACCAGTTTCCAGAAGTTAAAATAACAGTAATTCCATGTATTATAAATGTAATCTTGTTTCTTCTCTACCCCCTTAATCCCAGAAGGCATTTTTGTTTCTCTTCACAGCACAGCATCCTTGGACAAAAGCACTTCATGCCTTTACAGAAAGCTACACCCTGATCTTCTCACTAACTTTAAATGAAGACCAAATCATAAGGAGCGAGGCTGATATTGAACCAGTGTATAACCAAAAAAAATTAGGATGCTATAGTCACAAAATAAACAAGAGAGTTATGCAAAACAGACTATAATAACAAAAGAAAATAAACAGAAGGCTTACCCCTATCCTGGGCTCACCCACAAAACACCAGCAGAGACAATCACCAGACAAGATCCTTCCCCACTGGTAGCCAGCTCTTAAATAGGTCTAGGAGAGGTGCAGCCAGGCTCCACCCCTTCCAGCAGCACAGGTGAATTGCCTTCACCTGAGCTCCTGTGGCTGGCTCATGGCTCGCCTCAGGTGATCAATCAGAGGTTCAGGCTGTGACTCAGCAGTTCCCATACACCAGTGAAGTGAGATCACTATGATGCAATTTGTCTCCTTGGTAAAATTAATCAGTTCAGCCATTCACAGAAAATAGCACTGTAAATGAGTCTCTAAAGAGCAATAAAAGAAGCACGAGAGAACAGAAAAATAATACTCTATTTGCAATGTTTATGCACACATATACATTCACAATCACTGTTTTGGGAATAAGGAAATAATAAGTACTGATTTTGCCAGGTACCATGTACCATTCTGTGAAAGCTTGTACTTTGACTTTACTGTAGATCTCACAACACAGATTGGCTTTGGTAAGGCAGTTAAAGAGGAAAAGAAAAATAGATTTACAAGTTTTTAACAACCTTAACGTGAGTTGCTAACTACATTACTATAGGTATTGAGACTATTACTTCGGTGATAGAATTGTTAGCTTCATTGAAGAGACCTCTCTGTCCACTAGGATTAAGCTTTCCCCAATGGTAAGATCTATGTGGAATGACAGTACTACAGAGAATGACAGTACTACAGATGCTGCAGAAAGATTTGCTCAGTTTGCACATGCATGTCTTCAGAACCGTCCTTGTCAGCAACCTGTGTACTCTACGTCATCTGAATTCTCTTGTAATAACCACAGTTACTATCATCTTTCAGATGACAGCGTAGGACCCTTTTTCAAATTGAACCAGTTTGTGTCTAAATACACATTCTCTAAACAGTATTCACACAGAATACTGCCCAAACCTTCCTCAGAAAATAAACTGCGATATCAGTGCAAACAATGTCTACAAAGTGAAGTCCAGGAGAACAGAAAATCTGGATGCAAAATTTTGTGAACAAATAAAGGCTATTCTTGAGCCCTTACCCCTGAACATGCAACAGATCCAGTAAGTTATAAGAGCAGCGTAAGCGATTGCTCTTAAATGATTCGCATGACGTTAGCAAATATCTGCAGTATTTCACCAAAGCCAACAAATCTCATGCCCCCAGAGAGAAAAGCCTGTTTATTATGCTAACATCAAGTTTTGCAACACTCAACATACACATTGTTAATGCATAAACTGTATTGTTTCAGCTGCAGCTTCTTCGTTCCTCACTATTCCCTGTGTTGCTATCAGCTTTGTTAATTTGTTGTGTAATGTGTATTTCTTTTTATCTCTTCTTATTTTTTTTCTGGGCTGTACACATTTGCAAAGCTAAATAAGCAAACATGATTGTGATTTTATTAAAATAAGAATAGAGTGAAACTAACACACGATAATTATCAGAGACAGAGGAACATGTTTGCACAATTTGTGTGTGTATAATTTCAAGATGTGGTATATCTTCACGACAGAACATAAGAGAGAAAAGAACTTCTGAGTTTTATACTTCTGTCCTTTTGCCAGTTTCCTAAATATTCTTGACCAATATCTCTTTTGCATTCTTTCTTAAAAATCTGCCCTAATGTGTAACTTCTAAGCGCCTTTGATAGAAACAAGGGTTAGTTGTTAAAACCAGAAATATAAGGAAAGTGAGTGCCTTTGCTAGGTATCCTTAAGAGGCAATTCTTTCTTGTTTGCAAACATTTTGTCTGTGATTAAAACATGAGAAGACTTTATTAATGGTTGAGGAAAACACAGTAACATAAGTAAATAAATGAAATATCCGCACCCATCATATCTCTGGCAGCAGTTCTGCAGTTCACTTCCCTACCAAGCAGTGCCAAAACCCAAGGAGCTAACATCCTTTTAACTCTTTGTGTTCTCCTTTTTCCCTCCATAACACCATTATTGATTAACATTCAATACAAACTTGGCTGATGGGTCCCTGGCTCTCCCACAAGAAGTGGTATCTGATCTGGTTCATCTAACCTGGCAACAGCGATTTATTTTTACTGTCATCACCAGACATCTCCACACCCAGGTTTGATACTGATTTCCACAGATTCTGCGGAAAGTCAGCAGGAAGTACCTCCTTCCTGGTGTAAAACTGCCTGTGAGCCACAGCCTCAGCATGGGTTCCCATCATGGAACCACTGCTGAGACCCATTCCATGAAGATGGACATGAAGTAACGGCCTCAAGATGTACCAGAGGAGGCTCAGGTTGGTCTGCAGGAGAAAATATTTCCTCACAGCGTGATGGTGCATTGGAACATGTTAATGGTGGAGCCATTGTCCCTGTAGGTGTTCAAGAAACATGTTGATGTAGCACTGAGTGATAGGGGTTAGTGTGCTCAGGAGGGATGGTGTATAGGAACTGCTGAGTCACGGCCTGAACCTCTGATCACCTGAGGCAAGCCATGAGTCAGCCACAGGAGCTCAGGTGGAGGCAATTCAGCTGTGCTGCTGGAAGGGGTGGAGCCTGGTTCCACCCCTCCTAGACCTATTTAAGAGCTGGCTGCCAGTAAGGAAGGATCTTGTGTGGAGATTGTCTCTGCTGGTGTTTTGTGGGTGAGTCTAGGATGGGGGTAATCTTCTATTTATTTTCTTTTACTATCATAGTCTGCTTTGCCTATCTCTCTTGTTTATTTTGTGATTGTAACATCCTAATACTCTATGATTACATAGATGGGTAGGTGGTTGGACATGATCATCTTAGCAGTCTTCTCTAGCCAAATACTATAAATGCTAAGATTTTAGCAGATAAGGATGAATAGCACACCCACTCTCAATATGCAGCTCCTGTAATACAGTGTCCCCCAGGAGAGGAAGGAAACCATTCCCTTGACCCTATCATCATAGCTTAATTTTATTTCTTCTGCTTATGATAAGCTCACTTACATTTTTGTCAGTTCCTGATGATGTTTCTCCAAGGGTTTGCATGTAAGAAGACTTCAGAATTAAATTATCTGTACTTCTTTCTCTCTCCATTCACCATGAGCTGTTGCCCCAACTGTTGGGTCACCTTCCTATGCCTACCAGTGTGAAGCAGGCAGGGACTCTGCATCTTTTCTTTCTACTAGCACAAGGTGGTGGTCACTGTCCTCTGTGGCTTCACACCATACATGCTTTAGTGATTCCAAACGTATTTTTCTACAGGTCTAAGTGAATTGTATTGGACTTCCAATTAATCCTAATGCTGTTTCTCCTTCACCTAGCTAAGAGTTCTTATGTATTACACTGTCCAGCAAATGTAGACTAGCTAAAGCCATTTATTACATGGGTGCCTGTTATGCCAAAAAAAAAAAAAAAAAAAACAAAAAACAAAAAAACAGCTGAAGGTCTTCTGTGCTGGTTACCAATCAAGAGAACATGTGCCTGAGCTGCTTCCTTCCCCTCAGCTCCAACAGGTTTGGGATTCTGTGGCTTTTCATAGATTGCTGAACTCTTCCTCTTCCCAACGACCCATGACTGCACGGCACGTGGCCACCGGGCCACCTTTTTTCTGTTTCAAGACTGAGCTTGATTTGCGAGCCGTTGCACAGGTGATATTTCAGCCAGAGTGCGATCCCACATTTCCTACTCCTCAGGAGAGACCATACTCCGCCGACTGCCATTTTACACCGCGGTGACGCTCCGCTGGAGCCCGGCCTCCCCGGCGGTGGGCCCGGTGGAGCCCGGCCCGCACTGCCCAGGGAGCCGAGCCGGGCGGCGCCCCCCCCTCTGCACCGGGAGAGCCCCGCGCACAGCTCCCGTCCGGCCCTCGCACACTCCGTCTCCTCCCTCCCTTCTTCCCTCCGCCCGGGCCCGCCCGTATCCCTGCATTCCCCGCTCCGGCATCCGCCCCCTCGCTTCCCTCCTCCCCTCAATCCCATCAGTAGCGGCGGCGCCCGGGCTCGGCTCCCCGCGCTGCGGCGGCGCTCGGCGGCGGCTCCCCTCCCGCCGCGGCCGCCATGTTGGGCAGCTTCGAGCTCAGCGGCGGCTGCTGCGTGTGACCGCGGGAGGGAGGCAGGGAGAAGACGACGAGAACGGGAGGAAGGGCGGCAGGGAGGCGGCCCTCCCCGCACGCACGCACACGCCGGGAAGGAAGGATGCCCTTTGCCTGTGGAGGCGAGGCCGGAGGAGCATCTCCTCGCCGCCGGGAGTGAAGCCGCCGCCGGGGCCTCCCGGCCCGCAGCCAGAGCGGGGCCGCCGCGTTCCCTCCCGCCGCAGGACGCGCAGCGGAGGAGCAGCAGGAGGAGCGGGGCGGGCGGCTATGGAGCGGCCGTGACAGGGCTCCGGGCGTTCTCCCGCCGCCCTTCGGCGCAGCACAGGAGGAGAGGGCGGCGATGAAGACTTGAGCTTATTCCAATCCCTGAAAGGCCTTAAAAGGAGACTCGGTAAGGAGGAGGCGGCGGCAGGGGACGGCTCCCCGGGGCAGGACGTGGCTGCGCCCTGAGGACGGGCCCCACCCCCACGGCGGCGGCGAGGGGACCGCCGGGCGCTGCCCCTGCCCGGGAGGCCGAGGCCCAGGCCGCCGTGCCGCTCCCCGCCCCGTTGTTCCCTCCCGACGTCAATATATATTTATTCCCCCCTTTTTTTTTCCCCTTTCGATCCTTTCTTGGAAGCGAAATCCGATGCGGACGAAATGGGGCTTTTACACTTTAATGATGCAGTGGGATTCGTTTCAGGGTTGTGTTGCATGATCTGAATTTTGAATGAAGGAGAAGGACATTTTTAAAGATATAAAAGCTTACATCCATCTACATGCGGTAAAATCGGTGTCAGGCAGTCCTGGTGGGATTTCAGAGTGATTGTTATCACTGAAGTGTCAGAAGAAGCAATCTATTTTTCCTTATTAAGCATAGTAGAAGATTTTTCTTTATTTTCTTAAATTAAAAAATTATATATGCGCCTATATATGTACATATATATATACACACGCTCACACACGTAGTGTTTATCTGTGTGTGCCTGAAACTTCCCCGAGCTCAGCCTCAGGCTGGGAGCCGAGGTGGGCTGTAAATAAGGCACCACCAGCTCTTGACACTTGGTAAGAATACCGCAGGCTTCTTTTCAAACAACACCTTGAAAAGCTGGTTTTCGGATTTTTTTTTTTTTTTTTTTTGGACGAAGTAATAATAATAATTAAAAAGGAAACCCCATTGCAAACTGAAACAACCATGTCTGGAGAAGTGCGTCTGAAGCAGTTGGAGCAGTTTATTTTGGATGGGCCAACTCAGACTAATGGGCAGTGCTTCAGCGTAGAAACCTTGCTGGATATACTCATCTGCCTGTACGATGAATGTAACAATTCCCCTCTGAGAAGAGAGAAGAACATCCTCGAGTATCTAGAATGGGGTGAGTTGGAGTATGTGTCATGTGTGTCTGTCCATGTTCTTGTCTGCTTTGTTATTTATGTGTAAGAGGGGATTGTGTGGAACTTGGTGTTTCACTGGGAGGGGTTATTGTTTGTGAGGCATTTGAACGTGGTGGTGCTAAAAAGAAATCTATATTGGTTATTTATCCCTGAGTTATGCTTTTTTTATCCTGAATCAAATTCTGGTATATGAACTATAGTTCTATGCCTATGGGCCCAACTGTTGAGCTTTGTATCCTAGAGCTAGTGGGAATGTAGGAGAATGGAAGGTAAATCCCCTGATAGCTAGAGAAAGGATCAGTAGACAACCCTCTGACTTGTGTCTGCAGTCACAGCTATGCTGCTTTAAAGTAGAAGGTGTTAATCAAAGAGAAAATCCTTCAGCTCTCTTAAAGGAAATGCTTGAAGTGTCTGTGAAAAGGAAGACAAATACATTCTTTCATATGGTGGAATTGCTGGTTTAATTACATGCAATTGAATAGTAGAATGAAACTGTCTTCACCATCCACCATTCCATTTTCTTGTTTAATTTTAGGGGAATATTTCAGTGGCTGTAGGTCTTTCAAATGAGAACAAGTGGATTACAGTTCTTCTCGAGTTAACACAGAACTAGTTCTTGTTATTTTTTCTTACTTCATTTCCCTCCTCCTAAGTATAGGTGAAAAACAGAAGATGCATCTGACACAAGAGCCTTGATGTTAATGCATACTGTATGTGACCTTCAAAGTTCAAAGTCATGCTGTACTTCAGCATTTACATTCAGAACTACTTACCACATCTGATTTACAATAAATACACCAGCAGGCTACCTGTCTTTAGAAAAGCACATTTCAAAACATAAAAGGTTAATTAGCTGGTTGAGTTCCTCCTTATGAAGCCACTGAGGAAAGACATTGTTTTGATAACTGATCTAACACTGGAGGCTGATAGGTGTGTGTTGTGTGTTTTATTTTCCTGCTCCTCACTGTAGTCAGACTGGCATCTGAAGGGCATCTGACTCAGTAATTAAGTTTCTTATACTGTTTGTATTGCACTTGTCTTTGTTTTCTTATTATTAGAAGGAAAAGCCTATAATTAATGCATTCTAACTAAGGAGGAAATAGTATTTAAAGTACTTCTAAGGAATCTCCTCTTTAAAATTGTGGCATACAGAAGCTGTGGAAGACTTGGAAAACATACTGACTCTCAGTACTTTTTGTATATAGAAGTATAGTCTGCAGTGGACTTAGCAAGCTGACAGCCTGTAAATAATAATAATAATAAATTAACCATGTCAGTAGAATTAGAATAGTAGTGGTTGGAGCCCATCTTGTTGAGTAGCTGGTACATTTCATGTTATCTTTTGGAGGAAAAAAATGTGTTATTCTGAGGGTCTGATAGCACCTGAAGATTTCTGTGGTAGATCTGACAGGCTGCTAATGGAAATAATGTGCTATTTTGGAAAGGCAGGAACAAGGTTTCATACTGGCCTGCTTTTCCTGCTGCTTTTCTGCTTCTCCTTTCCAGTTATGCCTTAGCTTCAGATTAAAGCAGTCCCTCCCATTTTCAAGGTAGTGTTGCCAGAGCCCTGTGTTTCCACCAGCTCTGCTCTCCAGACTTAAAACTTGGCATTTTTCGAGAGGGTTTGTGAGGTGAAATGTAGGAGGAAAGGTTTCTAGTGCCTGCTGTTGAAAGTGTCCAGATGAACGATGTCTTTATCTTGCAAACACTCTTGAGCTGTCTCTCCTGAAAGCCAGCACTCGTAGTGAAACCAGCAGCCCTTGGCGTTTCTGTTCAGATGAGGGGCTCAGCAAAACGAGGTTGTTACAGAAGCGCTGTGTGCTTCAGCTCTTAGGTGCGGTGAGCAGACTGTGAGCATCCTGTTCTTTGATACCATTATAACCTCATGTCTCTTTGCCAGAGAGGTGAAGCAGTGTAAATGATGGATTACAGAGAGGGTATATGTGCTTTAAAAGTCAGAAACATGCTGAGCAGTGGCAGCAGTGGAAAGCTGGCAGCCAGAAATCATACTTTCTATCATGGCCTCCATTGGTGAAGTGATGTCTGAGTGCTTTCAGTTCTTTCTTTGAACTTCTTTACCATTAGGGAAAATAATATCAATTTTACGCCAGGGCTAACTCTTTATTTTGAGTATACTGTGTGAAATAAAGTGCATGTTAATCTATTTCTCCCATCAGTGAAATAGAACTTGGTGCCTGGTATGTCTTCTGGTGAGTGTCAGTGCTGTTGTGGAAAGACTTGGGTTTATGCCAAGCATTCACAAATCTGCATTATTACTGCCAGTAGTTCAGTCTGCAGTTATTGGAATTGGTCTTGGAGTGGTATGAATTGTTTGTTATGTTTGTGCATTTACTAATTACAAAACACAAATTTACTCCAGAGCACTATTCATCTTCCGAAGTTCATACTTTTAAAAATGGATTTACTCCTAGAAAAAGTAATCTTACTTTCTTATGACTAATAAATATCTATTTGGTGATCACAGACTACTTTTGGATACAATAAGAATTATTATTTTTTTTGGTGGGACTGTTGGGCTGTTTAATTTTGTGGAATTTTTTGTTATCGGTTGTGTATTTTTGTTTAAACTGCTCTAGGTCTGAGATGCTTCACTGCATGTGAAACTGAATATTCACAGCACAATGTGAAATTTTGGGGGTGAAAGATTTAGAAACTATTCTAGTATGGAAAAGCTGATGTAGTCTTAGCAATAGCCATGTGGTTGCTGCTATATTTAGGGGAGCTAAGAAGTTCATCTTCTGGTCCTCGGACCTTTTTAGGACTATTTCATGAGCAGTCCTAAAACTAGTTCTAGACCTCAGTAAGAAAAAACGAAGCAAGGTGAAACAGATGAACATCTGAGATGGTTTTTCGTCTTTTGTTCTGGGTTGTTTTTACTAGATTAGCTCAGCAAGTGGGGAAAGTCAAGTTTCTGCAATATGTCTGAGCTTCACAGGTTTTCAGTTGCTTTCAAGCCTTGAAATGGCTTCAACTTGAAGTGCCACACAGTTTATTTTGCGATTTAGAATCTGCGTTTTAAAATCATGTTTTGTTTTAAAGTGAAAATGGTTACTTTGCCTGTTTTTAGACCTGATTTGCTTTGTGAAGTGCTGATGATTTGATGTCGTTTATATAGGAGCTACAGCTGAAGAAATGCCCTTGGAAACAATCAGTGTGTTTGAGTTCTGGTAGCTAATTAGGGCACAATTTGAGATCATGGGAAGGAAACAAAACTCCTACACTTGGCTTGTTCTACTTATTTAGTGGTAGCTTTAATTTTTATCTCTGTTGACAGCATTTGTGATTTAGAAATGGGATTGGCTAATTTTAGCAACCGGGGCTTACCTGAGAAAGCCTCTGGGTTCCAGGCATTTTGCTTTTCCTTTTCTACATGTATATGAGTTACTCACTGTTACTTAAGACTGAGGAAGGTAAATGCAGGCTGATAAGCTCAACTTGAAAGAAAAATGTGACAAAAAGTAGCTTTAGAACTCTTTTGATCTAAGAAACATCCTTTACAGTGACACCAATTTGAAATGATTTTAAGAAGAAATTAGATCAGCTGTACTTAGGATGCATTAATAGAGAAATAGAGAGAACTCTTCAATATATGTGCAGGTATAAAGAAAGCAAGAGACGGGACTACAAATGGCTCGGTGAGGTCAGTGACTCAATTCAGTCTGTTCTTGTGTGATGAATGTAAACAGTCCTTTACTGTGTTTATTTCCTTCTGGTTTTCTTTGCCTTTGGTAGATGGCTTTAATTGTTCTCATTTCATCTTTAATAGAACTGAAATGCTGTGGTATTTAGGCAGTGCTGTTATGGTCACAAAATAGACAGCCAGCTTTGCTCTCATACTTCTGTTACTCAGATGCGCAGCATCTCTTCTGGCCATTGAAAATGGTTCTACGTCACGTAACTTTTCTCAAGTCAAAACTGTGGAAATGTTGTGCTCTCTTTGTAGAGTTCTCTAAAGAAAAAAATATGGTATGCCCACGTTCTGGTTGGGTTTGTTTTAAAATATTATTAACAAGAGAAAACTTGCCTATGGACTTCTGTACCCCTTCTCTGTTATTCATCTGTTTGTAAGTCACAAAAGACACTGCGGGCGTTTTCAGATACTATTTGTTTATATCTTCTTTTTAAAAGAGACTTAGAAAAAAAAATCCTTCACCTAAGTCCCTTTTTTTTTTTTTTTTTTTTTTTTTTTTTTGCAAAGGCATCAGCAAAATATATATATATATATTTTAAGTAGATGTTGGTGCTAAGTATTATCTAGACAATTGAAATACATTTTGCCATAGAAATGACATTTTAGGCATTATTGTTAATGCCCTTCTGCTATAGTCACACATTTGGGAACATGGCTTCATCTGAATGATGTGAGAACAGCTATTACATTGTATTTATGAAGGAATGGGTTTCTTGTCAAGGCTTTTCGTGTGCTTAACCAAAGGTGAGTTGTGTCATTGCCTTCAGTGGAGGTATTTGGAAGTGTGGGGAGCCATCTGTGTAGAAGTCACTGTGGCATTCTTGACATGCAAGTTTCTGCTGTTGTTGGCCATAACATGAGATTGCCCATTTGTATTAGCTGTTGTTTCTGCTATGCATTTGAAGCTGGCAATTAAGTGCTTTATATTGATTAGTGTGAAAGGAGGTTCTTAAGTGCTGTGGAATAGAAGTGACCTCCAAATCCGTGTCACAGAACGTTGTATAAACAGCGCTTATGGAGATAATAGTTTTGTAATAATTATTTTAATGAAAGAAAAAAGATATTACTGTAAAGTACATAGAAAAAGAGTTTCACAGAATTGCAGCACCTTTCTGTCAGGTAGCTCTGTGCTTAACCTTTGTATTTTAGTAGCTGTGACCTTATGAACATTTATTTCAGTTCTGATTTTTGTCTTGTACAGAGGAAAGCAATTACTGTAAATTAATCAACGTTTACGGTGTGGTGAAGTGAACTGTGAGGCCATCCAGT